AAAAATTAATTTAACTGGTAAAAATGCTAAAAATATACAAAGCTAAAAAGGTAGATGAATACACTACGTTTTTAACGTGGTTCGGTTTCACAACCTACCCCACGAGGCCATGCCCAGAGATTTAAAATATATTATCAAAAGATTAATATACAATACATATTGTCTTATGCATAAATTTAAAAGAACTCTCTTCTTTATTTTTATGCCGCAATCCCTTGCTTCAATTTCTTTGACGATCTACGTTCACAAGCTCCCCTTGTGTCAGATTCAGTGTGTTCAACAACCGTTTATGACGCTCGCCGTTTTCAATCGAAGTACGTTCTCAATATATACAACTAAAAGAGAACAAATAATCCGTTTTCGGTTTTCACCAACAAAGGATCAAGCAGTAAGAAAGACACAATTAGATCAATCAATAAGTAAGAAAAATAATGTTGTATCAATACCTTTGTGCAAACCACCTTTCAATATTTAAAGAATAACACCACCCACTATATTATGGAAAATATTCAATTTATCAATCAAAATTAAGACTAGCCAAATCAAAGCCAATGAGATAAGGAAAGCAATCAATCCCTCAAATCTCTCAATCAAATATATCATAAATTTCAAATAAATCCATTAGACAAAATTACGAAAAATGAATAATTAATGCTTTAAGGGAATTAGGAAAGAAATAAAAAAATAATGCCAAGAAATACAACCTTCTCACACATCATTTGAAACAAACATTTATTAGAATAATGTCATTATTGGCCCCTTAGGAAATGACGAAAATGATCGTGTCCAGATATAACAGTCAAAATAATGCTGTAATTCATGTAGTTGATTAAATCAGAAAGAGAAAAATGATCATGAAGTTGATTATATATTTTGTTCCAAATTTTAATTTTGGCTTATAATTCGTAAGTTCATTGAAGAAGCAAAGATGATTCAAAGTTTGAATAGTAAAAGTGAGTCAAATTCGGGTTACTTATTGCTAGTTTGGTTCTAATTAGACATAATCAAAACTAATAATTGACTACAAAAATTTAAAGGGATTTTTCACAATCATTTTGTTTGTGATTTTGTTGAATTTGAGTTAAACTTATCTTACTATCATGTAAAAATGTTTAATCTACTCTTCCCAAGAATGATTAAACCAAAGTTTAGATGCATTGGTATAAAATTTGATGAAATAATAATAAAGTATAAAATAGATTTAAATACTATTTTGGTCTTCCTAGTTTTAACTTTCATTCGTTTTGGTTGCATTATTTTCAAAATGTCCATTTCGTGTATGTACTTTTAAATTTTGTTCACTTTAATCCACATATTTTCAAAACCATCATTTTAGACTCTGTACTTTTTAAAAAGTGAATTTTGGTCTCTATCTGCAAAATTTTAACACAAATTTATATATAATAGAAATTATTTAATACAAATTTATAATTATATTTTAAAAAAATTTAATGAGTGAAATATTATGATACAATTTTGATTGAAATAAATGAGATAAAAATAAAAAAACTAAAAGGATAGCCTATCCTTTTAAAAGTAAAGGGTCCAAAACAAAAGCTTCCAAAATATAGGATTAAAATGAACAAATTTTTTTTTTAGTATCACAGTTGGAGATATATACCAATTATTTTTAAAATATGCTCGATTTGTAAAAAAAAAAAACACAGAGGTTAATGAAGAAAGGAAGTGTTTTTGTGAAGCACTCGAAAGCATGGGGATGGTGATCAGAGGAAATTGCTTGAGAGAGAAGAATGTCATTATGTGTACTCATTGCCAATGATGGTTGGTGACCTTACCGAGAGGCCCCATCCACCTCTCAATCTCTTTCATTTTCCTTCGCAATCATCAAGGGCCACTCTTTAATTAGTATCACATGTTATTGAGATTTTAGGACTACTAATTATCAAATTGGTTAAATAAATTTTGGAATTGCAATGGAAGAATTTCATTCTAACGAAATAGAGGCACGTTGTGACATACAATAGAGATATTTTGATTTTGAAAAAAAAAAGAACTTCTTTTTTGTTACTCACAGATATGATGATTTTGAGTGAGAAGTATTTTTTTATTATGCGTCCAAAAGCACATAAAAACTTAAAATTAAATTAGACAAACTTACCTGGACCTTTAAAGTAACATGCTCCACTCTAATAATCTTTTTAGTTGGACAAGATACATCAATATCATAGTTCATATGAGTTAGACCGCATGTTTACGTATCTTAGTTAACTCTAACTATAAAAAGTTTATTTTTGTCACACTCGTTCCCTCATTAAAACTTCTCGTCTCATTAAAACTTGGTTGTTTTCTCTTCTCTTGTGCTATAATTTTCTTCTTTGATTATTGAAATTGCTTGAGCAAAGGATATTATTGGTCAATGTTCTAACAATCTATTGTTATTGGTAAATTCCTATAATTTATGGCCAAAAAATACAAATCTTTTACATTCATGTTTAATACATTATAGAGTGATATTCATTCTTAAATGCTATTGACACAACAAACTTTCATACTACTGTAGTACAAGACATTTTTCATGTTGTCTCTGTTGGAGTAGAATTATTGCATTACTTATTAAAAATTTAAAATAGAGATATTTCATAAATGTAAAAAGTCATAAGGAGAAAGAAGAAAAACAAAAAAGTAGAGATGGGATGCCACGACACTAAATTCAAGAGAATCCAACTTATATTATTAAGACCCGAATTATTTTAAAATTTTTGTTAAGACCCAGAAAAAGGAAGAACAATGCTAATTGGATAATTGAGCATAAAAATATAATCTCCGGATTTAAATAATTGGAGGGTTCGATGCCCCTGTCCCTCAGTCGCTGTAGCTGTACTCCTCTCTCTCTTCATTTTCTTTTTCTTGGAAAAGGGATTTTGCTGTAACAGTAGATTTGACCAACATTTAATAGATTTGTCACCTATTAAAATATTTTGTAAAAATAGCATAATAATAAAAATTCTTTGATAACAATTTTAATTTTTGGTTTTTGATTTTCTATTTTTAAGAAAAAAAACCGTAACCATTTTTTATTTTTTGTTTTTAAAAAATAAAAAATCAAAACATGTTTGGGAACAATTTTTAGTTTTTAAAAAGTTAGAAAATTGAAAATATATATTAGAGGGAAAATTTTTTATGTAGAGTAGAAATTACAATGGTGTGGGTGTGAGTGTGTGAGTGAGGATGTTCTCCCCATTCTCGTGCTCGTGAAAATTTTTAGTCTCCGTCTCCACCTCGTTCTTAGATCCGAGAGATGTTCTTGAGAAAAAATATCGGTTTTATAATTGTTTTTAATTATTTTAGAATTTAAGTATAGAAAAAATGTAATAAATATATATTAATATTTAAAAAATGGAATTGGGGACGGGGTCGGGACATGCATTTCCTATTTTTGGGACCCGACCCTCCAAAAATTTTTGTCTTCACCCTAATGTAGAGACATGAAAATACAAGTTTAGAGAGATGTAAATAAACTTTTGAAAGATAAATTTTAGAGGGATAAATAAAAATATTTAGAAAAAACAGAAAAGTTAAAAGACAAACAGAGAAAATTTTTAGAGAAAAGAAGTAAAGTCGAGGAAAAGATATGTTAAAGAAAAAAAAGAAAGAGAAAAATTACAGTAGAAACAAATTTAGAGATAAAAACAAGATTCAAAATATAATTTTTAGAGAAAATAAATAAATACAAAGATAAATAAAAGTTATCGTCAAAGAAAATTGAACGAGAAAACAAAATATAATTTTCAGAGGAAAAATAGATTATGAACAGAAAAATAAAAAATATGAAATTTTAGAGAAAAAAAATTATGAAAAATATTAAATTTTTAGAGACAGAAATAAAACTGGTATGTTAAAAAAAACAAAAATTCAAAAAAATTTGGAGAGAGACAAATAACGATAAATATTCAAAATATAAAAATTTTAGAGAGAGAAAAATTTAGAAATAAAAAAATTTTAGAGTGAAAAATACAGTTTTGAGAGATAAATATGAGAAAGAAAGAAAAAAAAAGTTGAATATTAGAAGAAAAAATGAAAAACAAAAACCTGTTTTTGAATTTTTTTTTTTTTTGAAATTTGCATAAAATTTCAAAATAGTTTTTGAAAAACAAAAACAGAAAATTGAATTGGTTATCAAACAACCCAATTTTTAAAAACTAAAAACCAAAAACCAAAGAAGAAGTTATCAAACAGGCCTTAAGTACTTATATTAAATATATCAATTTATTACTTTATTAATAATAAAAAATAAAATACTTTATAATAGATATATTAATGATATACTTAATTAAAGATACAAAAGTTAATATAATCCTGCAAACTTTGATAACAAAAATAGTATAGGATGAAAAAAATTGTTATATTTACAAATTAATTTTTCATAGGTCAATGGGAGCATGGCTCATCCGTTAAATCATTTTTCTCCTTTCTTATAGACCAAATAGTCAATCTCGTACTCTCACATTTTCTTCTAGTGGAAATGTATTAGAGAGAGGTGTCTTAACCAGTTCGATCTGGTACCTTCACATATATATATATAGTTGAGTTGGATAATTCAAACTTAGTTGAATGTACGTATTTTAATCCATCGAATGTTCAAGTTGGTTTGTATCCTCACATCTACTCAAAAATAAAATTAATTTTTGATGTAACAAAAGTTATAAATATGACCACCAATTTTTGTTCCTCGTTATATTTTCCTTAATTAAATCATGGCATTAAAACCAAGTTATGGTATCGTGAGAAGTAATTAATACTACGACTTCCGATGATTAATTTATTCGTATTTGAAGAAAAAGGCATCGCAATGTAGCAAAGGTCAGTCTTTTTCCCTCCATCGTTGCCCCCACCTTTGTTTTTTCACGCGCCTCTGCCCTTTGTTCAGTGTTTGGTAAATGTCCGCTTTTTTAAGTCCTCTATCGGTATCGGCTCTATTCCGGTCTGGGTCTACGACAAAAATTTTATTTTGATTAAAGATTAGAGAGATTTTCCGCAAGGTAACAGAAGTTTGCACGGAAGTATAAAACAATTGGAAAAAAAGTTTTCCAAATTCGTTTGGAATTTGAAAACAGACGGAACCCAACAATTCCGCGTCAGCTCAGCTGGTTTCTTCTTGCTTTGTGCGCATCACGTGGCGAAAATTAGATTTCTTCAGCTAAAACCCATCAAATGTCTCTCTCTTTTGGGTCTCTTTCTCGCCTGTTTCTGAAGCTCATCGGCAGCTGCGGAACTTAGTGTTCAAACAGGGTCTTCGTCGACGGTTTTGTGCAAGAATCTGACCTCTGCTTCTTTTTTCTTTTAGCTGTTCTTCTAATACCCCATGGCGGAAAATATCTTTTTCTTCAACAAGGTACTACACCGTTTTGTATTCTTCTTCTTTCTCTGCACTTTACCTTTCAAAATGGGTTTTTTTTTTTTTTTTTTTTTTTTTTTTTTTGTTTTTTTGGGTTGTAGCAAAGTTGCTGGTTTAGCTTCATGCAAACTGCGGTTTTCAAAAGATTTTACTTCCTAGGTTTTCTTTTAGTTTGTATCTTTGATCTTTTTGAGGTGAAGAAGCTTCTTTCCTATGTTTTGGGAACAATCTACCTTACAAATGTCACCTTTGTTTTGTTCTTTAGTCCCTGTAATTTCCGTTGTGATCTAAGGGTATTTGACAAAAGGTAATGTGGGTTGGCAGTGTGATGGCTGTTCTTTTGTATAGTATATTTCTGTGTGGGGTTTGAGGTTCAGCTTCTGGGTTTTGGGGGTGGGGTGCATTTGCTTTACTATTTTCATTAATTATTTCTCTTTGATGGTCTCTTTTCTGATTTAGTTTCAAAATTGTTGCTGTAGCAATTATTTTCACATGCAAATGTTTCCATCTAAACTGTAGATGTAGATGAGTCAGATTGGTATGGGTTTCGTTTCTCATCACATTATATCATCATTGTTCCTATAAATGTTCTTGTGAAAATTTCATCAATTGAGACAATAACCTTTGTTCTTTTCCTCTTTCATGGTTTCCCAGGATACTCTGATAATAAAACCTCCCAAGAAATCTCCTCTGCTGTTAAGGATGGCCGTTTTGATGTTTGCAATGGTCTGCAGTGTTTATGTATGCTCAATCTGTCTGAAGCAGTTAAATACTCACACCAAGGCAAGATTCCTTAGGGTTCAAATTGCCGAGTGTCCCGAGCAAAGTATTAGACTAACAAAAGTCCCACGAGAGCATTATCCAAGACCCAAAACTTTTAACAGGTATTTGAAATTTAGGCTTCTAATTGTGAGTTTGAAAGTTTAAGATTAATAAATATACACTTTTGTGTTCTATCAGGGCCGAATGCTTGAATAATCCAGTGAGATTCTTTGCGATTGTGTCGATGCAAAGGTCTGGAAGTGGATGGTTTGAGAGTCTTCTGAATAGCCATGTTAATGTAAGCTCTAATGGAGAGGTATTTTCTGTTTTGGATCGGCGAAAAAATATTACTGCTATAGTACAGACTTTAGATAGGATTTACAATTTGGACTGGCTCAGTAGTGCTTCTAAGAACCATTGTTCTGCAGCAGTTGGCTTCAAGTGGATGCTTAATCAGGTAAATAATTGTCTCACTCTGAAGTCTCTAGCTGTTGGTCATTTTTGTTTGTCATCATCTTGTTCTTTTATTTCATCATGTTGGAACCATTAATTGATTGAAACCATCATACTACTTGTATATTTATTTCATTCAAAAAGGTGGAAATTTTATTGGTGGCCCCATATCTCTGCAGTTGAGGACGTATTTTGATCAAAGAACTTTGCATCCACTATCCATTTAATGAACAATACGTTCTTAATGGTAGTTTATAGACTGGTCATATGGTATGAGGTAGTTCACTTAATATTGTACACTCCCCTGCTCCCAAATTTTGTATATGTTATTCTTGGGTAGCTCAGGTTTAGCCATGGGAGGAAAATGGCTATACTTTGTTTTAATAATTATAAAATCCCTTTTTTTAAAAAGCAACTTTGTAGTATTTCTTTTTGATTAATAAGAATGAAAGCACAAAAGAACAGGGCCATATAAAGCACAGGCTCTAAGCATCAAGAGGAGTCCAGGTTATAGAAAGTGACTACAGCTGTTGACAGCTAAAGAAATAATGGGAAGTCACAGACAGCTTTATTTGGAGAAGCCAATATGGAGATATTAAAGTCAGTTGTCACACGAACCCTCTACACTCTGAAATACCTGCCTAGTTCTTCCCGAGCCACAAGATTTTAAGGAAACCATCTTGTTCATAAAAATCATCAAGAGTCTACTTGATAATTCACAACCAATACCATGCTTTTGAATGGTCAAAGTATGGATTGAAAAAATTTAAAAAGGTATAGGAGCAACATTGTGGAGTTTAAGGAAACCATGTGAATCTTTAGGTAAATCATATGCCTAGTTTGCAAATTCTATGAAGCTTCCTAGTGGAGTTTATACAGTTGCCTTGTGTGGTGGTTTGTTTGAGTTTTATGTACACTCCCTCCTATCTGCCTTCATAAATGTATCTCATTATGTGGAATGATGTCAAGCTGATTCTTATTAAAAATGAAGTGGATGCACAACATAATATCATATATATATTCTGAAATACTTAAAATCTTTTGACTGAGGGCTCTCACTTGATGGATTGGAAGAGCTAACTTATTTCACTTTGCTTAAATAGGGATTGATGCAGCACCATGAAGAAATAGCAGACTACTTCAACCGTAGTGGTGTTTCTACAATTTTTCTCTTCCGAAGAAACCTACTACGTCGTATTGTTTCGGTTCTTGCTAATTCGTTTGACCGTTATGCTAAGATGTTGAATGGAACCCACAAATCGCATGTACATTCTCTAGAAGAGGTTCTCTCTCTCCCTCTCTTGTCATATTTGTCTAGATTTACTTTCTTTGTTACCTCATGTCTTAAAGAGATGACTGACTAAACTTTCTTTCAGGCCAATGCACTTTCCAAGTACAAACCTGTCATTAATTCCACGTCGTTGATCTCTGATTTGGAGGGAATGGAGGCAATGATTGCAAAGGCTTTAGAGTATTTCAGTAACACAAGGCACATCATTTTGTACTATGAAGACCTGGTAAATAACCGAACGGTAAGAGGGACAAAACAAAAACTTGGTTGTGCATCTGTGATCATAATTACCCTCTTTTTAAGTAACTTAGGCCCATCTGATGACCATTTTGTTTCTAGTTTCTTGTTTTTGAAAATTAAGTTTATAAATACTACTTCCCCTGCATGTTTCTTTGTCTTGTCATCTATTTTTATGTATCTTTTCAAATCTAAGCTAGAATTGAAAAAGGTAGTTTTTAAACACTTGTTTTTGTTTTGGAAACTTGGCTAAGAATTCAAACGTGCTTTTAAGAGGGGAAAAAAAAGAGCAAACAAATATAATTCTTAGAAACAAAAAACAAAAATTGAAATGACAATCAAAGGGGGGGTTTTAGGGATCTTGTTTCTGAGATTGTCACACCCCAAAGTAAGGTTTAGCCAGTTTGTGAAGATTAGAATTACGGTTGTCGAAGTATTTACCTATGTACGTCGTGGTCCCAAGTTCAGATGGCCACTTCATATTGAATTCCTCGATGAGATAATTCATCTCTTCTGAGGTCTTGTTTTTGACTGTCAAGTCCTCCATGCTTCTTGCAGAGACTGAAAGATGTTCAAGAGTTTCTTAACCTGCCACCAATGGAACTAACAAGCCGCCAAGTTAAAATACACAAAGGACAATTGTCCGATCACATCAAGAATTGGGAAGATGTTAAGGCGACTCTTAACGGAACTGCTTACGAGCAACTTCTTCGTGCAGATTACTGAGGTATCTATAGTTTTTCAGCTTGATTTTTGAGAGGTTCTGTAAAGAAAATGGCCTGCCAGTTCTTAACCAAGAAGATGAACCAGTCTGAACGGTGTTTGGCTGACGTTCTTTGGAGTGTTATGACCGTTTCTTTCATCCCATTCAATCAATCTTCGCTGATTGAGGGCCAACCCCTTTTTGGTTTTATACTCTGTTTGACCAAACTGAAGTGTACATGTAATGTAAGCCAACTGTTGTGATATATTGAGTTATTGTTTTATTCAATCTGCAGAAGTATGAGCTTTTCTGGTGTGGCTTGAATTTCTACTTGTAATGACTAATTAAATACTCCAATTAGAGGAAATCTTGTTGCACATCTGGATTTTTTTTTTCTTTATACATGAAACCCCCTTTACATACTGGTCACCAGCTAAAAAGTGTTCTTCGCTATAAATTATTGTTTTAGGTACGTATTCAACCTTACAAACAGATTAATATGTTCTCTTATTGAAAATAGACCACGCAAATTGAGGTTTTCATAACAAGTATCTGTATAAGAATTATTTCTATTGCAAGTTTGATTCTAGTAAAAGAGTGAAAGGGGAAATAAGTGGGAGAGAAGTGTTAGTATGTAGTTTGTGGTGTGTGAATCTAAGAGAAAAATAGTGAAGAAAAGAATCGAGAGAAAATGTATGTGAAAATGAGTGATTAGTGGGTGAAAAGAGTATTAGAGAAAGAATGTTATAAGAGATTAGAGATTAAAGGGAAAGTATCTTTTTTGGTCCGAAGTTAATTTTTATCTAATAAAAAGATGACGTGACATATTTATAATAAAAATAGTTCACGTGGTGGCTTATAAAATTAATAATAAAAATACACGCCCCCTCACCCATTCTCTAAGGCAAGCAACGGGAGTCGGGGGCGGGAGGGAGAAGAGGAAAGACAAGGAGAAAAGGTGGGAGAGATTTTATTTTTTATTTTTTAATAATAATAATTATTTTTAATTTGATTAACTGACACGTCAATTATTTTTATTATAAAGTATGCTATGTCGAATTGACTAGCAGAAACTTAACCTCAGACTAAAATTTAGTAATTCTAAAACCTCAGGAGTTCAATTGTACGATATTGAAATCTAAAAACAAGATCAAAAATATATTTTAAATATTAGATAAGTGAAAATCACTCTCTTTCAAAAGAAGAACTCTTCCAAAAACTTTTTAGATTTGCAGAAAAATGTTTCTAAATCATAATCAAACAGAAGTACTAAGGTATGGAAATACTAATTTTAACTATTTGAGAGCACTTTTAACAATATCAACATACCCAGAAATAAGAATAAAATATTATTTGATTGGGAATGGGTCATACCCAAAATGAGATAGTGGAAAGATACAAGGCCCATTAGTGGGCATTGGGTGTCATCAAACTCATGGGCTAAAATTTCTTTGGCATCTTCATATTTCAGTTGTGTTATGAAACCAAACCAATTACCCATCTCATGCTCTATCAAACAACTTTTCTTTTGTTTCCTTCTTTTTTCAGTGTCAATGGGACATGTAGCTTTCACCCACTCCTATTCTTCATGCACGACTAACACGTGTAGAATTTCATCATCACTTCATTGAATATAAGATCCATGAAGTGACCATTAATGAACCAAAATTTCCTTTTTTTTTTCTTGTTCGAGTAACAAATGCATACATCCACTCCTATATAAAAATATTGGAAAATTTTTTAGTACTGGGGGATTACAATACTCCCTCCTACCTGCACAATAAATAGAAGAAATAGACTTCACATCATTTTTAACACGTTGCTAATGTAGCAAGCAATAAATGAAAAATAGTATGGTACTCTCGTAGTACCAAAAATTTTCTAAAAAATTTGCCATCAACATAACAACAAAATATCTATCAGCATGTCATTTTTTTTTTAATTAAAGAGAGTTCTATATGATACGAAAGTATGTATAATTGATATTTTTGAAGTTGTGTATAAAAAATACTTAAAATGTGAACATAACGTGTAACGGTTGTTGAAAATATGGAGCAGAAATTTTTTTTATTAATTTTTTTGTATATGTAATAGGCTTTTTCGAATTTGGTTTCAATTCTATGTCCCTTTTGAAATTTGAAAACTTATCTTTTTATTTGATTTTTCTATCTATTATAAATAGAGATAGATGAGTCATTTGATAGATGAGCAAAAGAGAGTTGTGAGATATTCTCCAAGAAAAGAGAGTTTGAGAGCTAAATACTTGTGTATCTTTTGGAGAGTTTGAAAGACTTGTAGTATGATTGATGTACTTTTTCTGTATATGAGGAAAAACTGTTAGAAATAACTGTAAAGAGCTTGTTCCCTGACATTTTAGAACCTGAAACTAGAGAAAGTCCAAATTGGACGAACCAGTATAAATCCAGCATTTAATTTTCTTCTCTCTAATCTATATTTATCATTACTGTAGCATAGAAATTTTAGATTAGTTTATCCATTCTTCTAAGGTGTAAGTTCCAATTTGATTTGAATTTCACTCTAATTTTGATGGAGATAATTATTAGTCTTCGCTTCATTATTGCCACCAACAAAAGTAATGTTTATAAAAATTTTGAAAATTAAATGGGACTTTGATTATTTTATTCACAAAAATGTAGCAAACCATAGGCTAAAATTTATGAGAAAAGTGGTGTGGGAGAGGGCAGGAAAGTTTCGTACGTTGAGTTTGGAGTAGAAGGGTTTCAAGTGTTGGGGTAAAAAATGAACACTTTAACATAAACAAACAAAAAGGAAAGGAGAAAAAAAAGATTGCCCTCGATCTATTACTAATCAGCAGTCAACTCTCCCCCCTTTTGTGAGAGATCAAAAGTCAAAGTTTTGGAACATAATTAAATAACCCCCATTAGCACTTTTAATTACTTTTTTGCCTATTGGGACTTAGAAAAATGGGTCTCCACTGCTTTGGCGGCCTCACCACTCTCCCCTATAAATAGTCCCTTGGTTTATGCTGCTTTTGCATATACTCATCTCTCACTCTCTCTTAGCCCTTTTGAGATCTCATTACAGCTTTGGCTTTTGTTGGAATTTGTTGTAACTTTAGCCTTTCCTTTTCCTTCTCTTCCAAATCTTAACTATGGCGCCAACCAAGCTAACCTTTGTGTTTCTTTTCGTTGCCCTTATGGTTCTCTTTCATGCAATTGATTCTGCCTCTGCCCGTCCACTGAAAACAGACACAAACGATCAACTCTCGAAGAGGCTGGCAAAAGGAGCTCATTTTCATGGTGATAGCGTGGGGGAAGAAGGGTCGACTCCGGCCGCGGATTCGTCTCCAACAGTTACTGCCCCGGGCCGGAAGGTGGATGACTTCAGGCCAACCACTCCCGGCCATAGCCCYGGCGTAGGCCATTCACTCCAGAATTAAAGTCGAAAGATTGGTTAAAGCATAAAGTAACCTCTCATATATCCTCCTCCCAGTGTCCCTGAAAAAAAAAAAAAAACTATGTTATTTATGGATGCATGAATTACTTCATCAAAGCTGGAAAAAGAAATCGGTGGTGTTTTAATTATGTAGCTAGTCCCTATGAAGTTTGTAATTTGACTACGTGGATTGATCTCGCAAAGAAAAGAAAAGGAATTAATGTAAAACGTATATATATATTAATATTATTCAATGGAAATAAAAATTTGTGTCACTTTATATTTTCATCTATTTGGTTTGTTTATAGCTATCTGATGAAAGGGAAGCAAACTCACATCATTCAGCAGCATAAGAAAAAAGAAGAAAACCCTAAAAGACCATATGAAGAGAGACAACATTTGTGAGAATTTATTGTTTTTTCAGAAACTGCAATCATTTTCAACTTCAAATGGCAATAAGAAAATAATTAACTTTCTTTTCAATGCCCAAAAACTTTACCCTAGTTCTCCAAATTCAGTAGGTATAAGTTCGATTTTTTTTTCCTTCCAACGTTTTGAATTAAAGTCTCAAGAAATAGTTATATCTGCTAGGGCTTAGGGCATTAGGGCAGCTACATTTTCTTTTTCATTATACCAAATTGGTAAGAGATGATATATCTTTTCAATATATGTTTAACTGGTTCAAATTAATTATAAGCCTAGTCTTGTTTTTTTCTTTTGGTTTTCGCAAAAATAGGTTTATTTGGTCTTACCTACAATTTTTTTTTGTGTTACTCATATCTTAAAAATGTTTCAAGGTTATGGGGTTTGGAAGTAGAGCACCCTAGTTTCATGAGAAATGAAAACTATTAACCCCACACGAGGTTCGTCCATACATCTATTTAGTAGAAAGAAGTGAGGTTTTGTGGCGTTAACCTATAAGATTTGAAATAAAAAAACTAGAAATATTTGGCAGCTAAAGGATTTATATTTGGGTAGGGATTTTGGTTAGGGCCATTCTGCGGCATCGATTACCAAGGTTCAAAAAGGTTCTTCTATCAATATAGATCATCATCTTTGAACTGTTCCTTAATTGACAACAACTTAGAGAAAATAAGTACCATTGAGAATGCAACCAAATATAACATCTAAGTGGACAAGGAGAATATTATAAATATATAGGTGAAAATAAAAGTAAAGCTATGAGGACGCAAAACGGACAAAATATCATATTATTGTGTAAAAATTAGAGAGTTGTTCGTTATGCTTAATAAGTAAATTACATATACTTTAGTCATCTATTTAAATGATAACTTAAACTTTAAGTGAATGCAAAACCCAATTTTCAATGAGTAAAAATTAGGCCTCGTTTACTTGCACTCTTGGAATAATGAGAAGAAACCGAAATGAAATCAATCGGAATAGAATGTTATTACTTTGATGTTGTTTACTATAAATTCTTTTAATCAAAATCAGTAATCCTTTGATTTTATTTACTAACATTGTCTAGAATCGGAATAGAAACCAGATATATAACAATTACTAGTATATCCCATTTCTTCCCTAATTATAAATATATTACTGTGCTAATTTTTTAATTAAAATAATAATAAATGTTAATTTATTTTATTACAGTTTTATTAATGGTAAATATTTTTTGTATAATTTATTTAATATTAAGCAATAATAAATAACTAAAATGAAATTACATCAACTAAAAATAATTTTTTATTAGAACAACAATTATTTAATATAACATATTATTAAACTTTATTGTTTAGAATTCTTTTTTTAAAAAATAATTTCTATTTTACATATATTGATATTAATTAATAATAACAAAATAAAATTAATTGATTAAAAGAGTGAAATAAAAGCTTGAATAGATTATCGCATCATTTCTTGAAAAAATATTAAATCACCGTGGCACACTATTTATAATAAAATCACATCAACTAATAAAAATTGTATAAACTTATAT